GTTGTTGTAGCAGCAGCACCGGTACCTCAAGCACGAGGCACTCGTAGTAGTTAGCAGTAGCGGTAGCAGTAGCAGTAGCAGTAGCAGTAGCAGCAGCAGCAGCAGTAGCAGCAGCAGCAGCAGTAGCATTAGCAGTAGCAGTAGCAGTACAGTAGCAGTAGCAGAAGCATTAGTAGTAGTAGTAGTAGTAGTAGTAGTAGCAGTAGTAGTAGTAGTAGTTGTTGTTGTTGTTTTCGCACAGTATATCAAGTATAGTCGAGTATAGTATAGCAAAGTAAAATTAGCATAGTATAGTAGAATATAGTGTAGTCTAGTGTAGGCACACAGCAGTATCAGCAGAAGCGGCAGCAGCCAAGTAACTGGCAGAAGCACGAGGAGCAGGGGAAGAAGCTTCGCGGTCGGCGGCGTAGTCATAGCAGCTCTACTTGTGCACGACATGCAGTCTCTGCGGCCAGTGTCAGAGTCGCAATGGGCATCACCGTCCGTGCGGGTGCTGACACTTTTGGTTCTTATGGCTCAAGCACCCAAACCCCAGATACCCCTAGTTGTGTTGAAACCAAAAAAGTCGCCAATAGCAAAGGGTGCCTGAAGTTCAGCTCCCGTGCCAAGTCGAACCTGGGCACCGAGGCTCCGGATCCCACGGCTCTTTCTTGAAGTCGGGTATAGGGCTTCGGGGTTAATGGGTTTGGGGGTTTAGGGGTTTTGGGGTTTTGGGGTTTAAGGTTTAGGGAGTCCTATGTTAGAATCCGAAACGCCATATGACAAGAACATTAATGTAGAAAAGAGCTGAATGAACCCTGTTGTGCGAATGAGTATTGTAAACCGGAACCCTAAGAACAAGGAATTGTGCATCTGCGGTTACTAGAACTACAACATGAAACCCTACAAACACACACACACACACAGGCACCAGGCACCCCACCAGTACCCTCTGTGCCAACCCTTATGGTAACCATTGTAACTACACTAAGCCCTCGATGCCAGGAAATGAAAACCATTGCAAGGGAGCCCGGGTAAGGAGTGCATGTGGTCTTCGAAGCAAAAGAATGCTGATTCCAGCGACTTGGACTTAGAGTCTTGGACTCTCAGGAATCTTTAGGGCTTAGGCTCGCCAGAGTTTAGGGTTTAGCGCTTAGGGCCTACAGGCCTACAGTTGGTCTACAGTTTAGCGTGCAGTTTGGGTTTCTTCTAAACATACCCCTTTCGGCAAGGGCCGTAGGGTTGCCTTTTGCTGCTCCCTAGACGAGGGAGTCCAAATGGGTACATAAGCCTAATTAGCAATCCCCGATTCTCCATACGGTTGAATCAGCACTAGCAGTCACTAGCACTCCCCTTCGCTTCCCTAAGGTGCCCTCAGGATCCCTAGCTTGGACTACCCTCCCTTACGCATCCTGTCATGATCGGTAGCCGTCGGACTCAGATGTTTGGGTTCCTTAGAGCGGTTCCATATGGGCACTTAAAGCACTACTTGCGAACCTCCAGTCCTACATAGTAGGTCCCTGAGTCCTGTGTAGGGGCCTGAATCATTACCATACCAGTCTTTAGGGCTCCTTAAGGCAATTATACTACACCGTACCCAAAACCCTTTTACGAAACCCTTTGGTTACCCTTACAGAAGCCTTTAGGAGGAACCCGCAGAGGAACCCTATTCTTGTTATGAAGGGCCCCAGATGACTACCCTATACCCTTCTAGCGACCCTGATAGTAACCCTTCACCCTAAACACCTGCTTGCCGACCCAAGCGGCTCTTCCAAGGATTCCATCGACGTAGGTGGGGGCCGAGCCGGGAACCCATTGCAGGGTCCGCGGGTCGTGTAGGGTCTCCGGGTTACTCAAAGAATTGTAAGGAGTTACAACAGGTGTTAGTCTGAGGGTTTCTTTCAGGGATACTCTGAGGGTTACGCTAAGAGCTGCTATAGGGTTTACAAAAAAAGGGGCTTTTGTATTTGGTTTTGCATTTAGGCTTTGGGGCTCGAGGCTTATGGATTGAGCATTGCGGGGTTTAGGGTCTCGGGCTTGGGGTTTTGGGTTTGGCGGTTAGTAGAAGGCTTTCGGGCTTTAGGCTCATCGAACTTAGGTTAAGGGTGTTGGGGTCTAGTGCTTTAGGGGTTTCATCCGCAACCCCATCGATCACCCCAGCTGCGCAGATCGACTGAAGTGCTTAATGCATGGTGCTATCTTCATCGCAATCTGAAAACCGGCTCTCACTACCCTTAAACCCTACACCCTAGACCCTGGCTAGTTCACCCCAGATGCACTGCGACACCAGCGATGTGATGGACTATCGTTTCGGACTGAGGATGGAGGGCTTGTGGGGTTTGGGGTTTAGGGTCTTGTAGGGCGTATGGGGTTTAGGGTTTAGGATTTAAGGGCTTGGGACATTCCAAGCGTGTGTGGTGAATCACGGTGCGGGGAAGCATCTTCCGTTTCCTCCATCACATAGAGGTGTACATCAGGAGCTCATGTGTACAGACAACAGGGGTTAGGATTTCGTATGGTTTCGGAGAAAAAAGGCCGGGGTTGAAGGATTTAGGGTTTCGAGCGCCGGTTGCTGCCAAATTCAAGGGCTTGTATCACACCGCAAGCACAATCCCGAAAGCAGCCGAAAGACTAGCAGAAACCCTTACACCCTAGACATGAAGGTTCCCACGAGGAGTAGGACTGCCCATGTTCTTGCATCTAGCCGCACGTCCTGAAACAAATGTACTGCAGAATGCGGGGTCTTGTTCAGGAAATTACAGATCTTGCTTGGAACTTGAAGGCTTCTCAACAAGAACCCAGTCACAGCATTTCCACTCAGGCCAAGGGCCATCTCCACTGTCTTCACGAGTCCAGCAGCAGGGGCGCCGCTGCTCCCTGGGTTTCTCGGGCCCTAGCCTGCTGCGAAGCTCGAACACAGGCGATGAACATGAAAGCATTGTCAAGGCCAAAAAGGAAAGGGCCCAAAGCCCAGGTGCTGGAAACACGTCGTGGTCGAGGTCGGAGCTCAGGCGCCCGGAACTGCTCATGGGCCTGATTCATGATGTGGCAGCTCATCTTTTCCAGAAGGTGCCACCATGCTCCCAGAGAAATGACGGAAAACACCAAGTAGATAAAGGCCCAGAACCTGTATCCTGGCCAGCCCGAGCGCTTCACGACGCAGTGCCACGGCACTTGACACGTAAAGAACACAAAGATAGACAATCCCATGGCATATATGAAAGCCAAAGCATCATCACCATACCCGTTGATCAGCTCGGTGAGTGCGAAGGCCAGGAGAAAGGAGATTGCGCAGAACAATCGAAGAAAGCAGTGCAACACGTTCCAGTCTTGAAAAAGCCGCTGCGGGTCCGGTGGATTCACGTCGAACATGCTGTGCACCAGCTTGGGGGTGCGCAGTAGTGAAGCATACTCCAGGGCAGTGTATCTTTCCACACAGTTCGCCATGTTGGAGCAAGGGTCTATGATTCCCTCAAGAAAGCTCAAGCCGGTTTGCTGTAGAAGCTGAGACGGCATACAATAAGTAGCACCTTCCACCCTTCGACTATGAATGACTGCAACAATGTCCCTAACCACATCTTCTCCACAGTTGGGAACATTTCCTAGCTGTCATATGTGCAACCGTGAAAGAAGGGGGCGCGCACACGTGTAGCAGACCTTTCGTCCCAAGTATGATTTGCACAAAAGAGGAGATATGAACGGAGAGGCAATGGCAAAAGCCTCCAAGCCCGGAGGCCCTATATAAACCCCCACAAAAATGAACAATAATTCTCCAGCAATCCGATCTACAACTCCTACGCAAAACTCCGCCACCACCACGATCAAGCCCAACAATAAACACCGATGCCGATGCCGACCTTCACACCAACGACACGACGACTACGACGAGACGACGACGGAACTTTCTACCACTACCACTATGACCACAACAATCACGACGACGACTGCTGCTGCTGCTACTACTATGACGACGACCATGACGACTACTACCACTACTACTGTTACTACTACAACGACTATGACTAGACTATTACCACTACTACAGCTGCTACTGCTAATGCTGTCGCCACCGATACCACTACGATACCACTACTGCTGCTACCGCTCGTAATAAAAAGAACAATTGCTAAACATGCTGCTGATGCTCAGCAGCAGCAGCAGCAGCAGCAACAGCAGCAGCAACCGTGGCAGCAGTAACAGCAAAAGCGGCGATAACGGTGGCGGTAGTTGTGAGGGCATTCAATCAATGGAATTACCTCTGTTCTCGCTGTTGTAACCAGCGCTGCCCACGACATGATCACCGAAGCGATCCTCCGCTGTTTTCTGCAGGAAGCCCCGGGCAAGGGAACAGCCATGCGTCCAGTTCCACTCGCCTTTGTAACCGATAGAGATCGAATAGAAGAGTTGAGAGCACAATCACATCCTTACTGTAAAGTCCATAAACCCGAAGGAAAGGGATAGAACCAATCACAGGGCTGGCTTGGAAAACTCAGAAAAGTCGAGGCTGTCCCCACTCAGAGGGAGCGACTGCAGTGGCTAATCGGGAATGCCTCCAAAGTGGCATCGCCGCTGTGCCATATAAGCCCCTCTCAGATTCTGTACGTTTACCTAGGCCTTGCAGTTCAAGGATTATCAGGCTTTGAGGGACCTCTAGGGAACCAAGGCATACAGTCAGCACACATCATACTCCCTTGAGGCTAGAGAGAGAGGAGCTCATACTGGGAAACCCTAAACCCAAGGAAGACCCAGAGCTCACCCAAGGCCAGGCCCTGAATGGATCAGCTCTCTGGGAGAGGGGGCCCCCAAAGGATGCCCCCCCAAAAAATCGCAGCAGCTCATCTAGGAACCTGATTACCTGACTTTCTGGTCCTATGGATCCCAAAAAATAGTTGGCTCCATGAATGCAGAGTCCTATTAAAGAGACCCAAGGTTTCTTAAATCAGGCTCCTATCTTGCCCGATACACGGAGCCTATTTGTCCTCCTCCTCTAGAGCATAAGCATTTTCGAAAAAGTCCTCCTCCAACTGCACCGCTTGCAGGAACCGCGCCTTATCAGGGTTGTTCGTGTAAGGGAAAATAGACGAGGCCTCGTCTTGGTCAGTAATCACTAATCCCCTGAAGAATGCACTTGGTGCATCTCTTTGAAACCCGAAACTTCCCTAAACCTCTATAACAATCCTCTGAAACCCCGCCAAACCCTCTCAAGCCAGCAAAACAACATGAAACCCCAAACAACTCCCAACAACAAAAAATGGATAAAGTAACCCTTACGACACAAAACAGCCAAGCCCTTTTAAAGAGGTGTATATCTCCATACATGAACTTTAAAACAGATGATCCTGTCTTTTTGTTCTTGCCCTCCCTCCAAAGGCGCCTTGCAGCGCTCCCGGCCCTCCGCATCCAGGCGCTGGCCCTCCTCGTCGAGGAGCCTTCGCAAGTAGGCGACGACGTCCTCTGTTGGGAGCTTGAAGGGCGACTACCAAAGGGTCGCAAAAGAAAGGTTACCACAAGGGTTTTTTGGGGTTCAGGGCCACCTTAAGGGCTTCAGAAACGGTTATCGGATTTTATTCAGGGGTGCTTGTAGGGTTGTTGAATTGTACCCGTGGATTTCAAAGGGTTTTGCTAAGTCTTTGTCAGCTGCTATACGGGGTTTCGTATGGTTCCCGGAGTAGGACCGCCAGGGTTGAGGGTTTAGGCAGGGCCGGGAGTCGTAGCGCAGCTGGGAAGTGGGATTTGTGGTTTTGGGCTTCTCCGTCTGTCTGAGTGAGATAAAGGGGCGAACTACTTTGGTGGCTGCCTATCTGGACCTATCTGGCATGGCCTATGTCAAAATCTCTTCTGCGACTCCCGGTCCTCGAGGGACGTGTGGAGATCAATCCACTCAAAAAGGACGAAGTTCTCGCGGGTGGCGTCCTTGTCCACGATCTTGGACCAGGACAAGTAGGACCACTCACAGACAATGAGGACTGACAGCATTTCCCCAAGGCTTCCGCTCTTTGCTGCATCCCGCATGAGCTGGTCAAAGCCTTTGGTGCAGGCTGCATCGGGGATCTTCGAGCGATCCGCCTCTGTACATCGCGGGAGCTCCTGGAAGCAACGCTCGAAATAGGTGTTCTCCTTCCCGGTGATGAGAGCCAGAAACCTGGGTTCTACTTTTCAGTAACCTCACTAGGGCATGGGGACAGGTAGTAGGTTGATGACACAAATTCGTTGAGCTCCTGAGCAAGAGCCGAGACACTGGCATCCGGGAATCCGGTCCTCCAGGGACTTTGCATGCGCAATCATGCTCGAGAGCAGTACGACGAAAGCATCCAAGAATCGGTGATCCTGGATGAGGTAGCCTGGGATAATTCAAGCTGCCATAAACAAGCAAGCCTGAGCACTTTGCCATAAAAAAATCCTTCTACGGCAACTAAAACTAAATTCCTAAACCCTAAAAACCGAGACTGGGCAAAACTCTATGGAGACCCTTACCAAGCGCCTTCCAGACTCCCCTGCAACCCCAAAACCGTAAACCCATATAGCAACCCGTGGAAAGTAACCCGTTTAGTCCTTTTGGTACCCTTTAAGGGTTTAGGGCTTAAGGGCTTAAGGGTGTCGGGGTTTAAGGGCTTAAGGGCTTGGGATTTAAGGGCTTAGGCGCTACTGGGCTTTGGGATTTAATGTTGGTGTTGTTGGCTTCGGGTTGAGGGTTTGTGTACAGGGGTTTAGGGTTTAGGCGGTACTGGTCTTTTTGTTAAGGCATACATGTAGCCCAGATGACCTACCGTTTCATTTTTGTCGGTCCCTTGTTGTAGCTTTTGTATATAATTCCTTGCATGGTAGAGGTGTTTGGTGTTTTGTAGGATTCAGTTGTGCTGTAAGGGTAGTGTACTAATGGTTCTAGAAGGGTACGAACCAGAGTATAGGCTGGGCTTTGGCGAAGCCCAAACCCCAAATCCCAAAGCCCAGTAGCGCCTCACTTATAGTTACTTACCAACCTAAGCAAGGTAGTTCTAACCTTGTTCGCTAAGCCCCATGATCCTTTAAGTAGCGCTAAAGACCGACCACTCTAAGGGATAAGGAACCCTAAAGAGGCAGGTCTTTTGGGCGGGCCACGGTTTTCCAATACCCCTTAACTCACAAAGCCCAGTCGCGCCTAAACCCTAAGCGCTGAAACCATGACTCGTTCCCCCTTATAGTACACTCAGGCATAATACCCTTGTAGGCAGAAGGAGCCCTATTCCTTTAAAGGAAAAACCACCCTAAACCCTGTTCCTTTAAAGGAAAAACCCTAAACCCTGAACCCTCAACCCTGAACCCTAAAAGCCCTATTCCTTTAAAGGACCCAAAAGAAAAAAGACCAAAGAGGCCCAGGAGCGCCTCATGACCTTCAAGTCCAAGGTCCCCGAGGCGAGCTCCTTGGTCCAGCGGTGCTGAATCACCCGCTCCCATTGGTCGCCGGCCGCCTGCGCCGACTCCGGGCTTTGGGGCTCCCTTGGCTCTGTTGAACTCCGTTTTTGGGGGTTTGAGGACTCTGGGACTTTAGGGGGAGGCCTTTGGGGCTTTAGGGCCCGAAGACGTTGCTTCTTAGATGTTCCGACTTAGGGTGTAGGCTAGAGGGGTGCAGGGTTCACGGGTGTTGGCTTTGGAGTTTAGGGTCAGGGTTTTGCTGGTCGCCTGCCGCAGCTCCTCCGAGAAGGCCATCACTGAAATATATCCTAACCAGCCTTTCTAGCTTCTACGACAAAATCGCAACTTCTTTCGAGCCAGAAACCCGCCACGGTCATCCGATGCTCTGACCCTAGGGCTTTTGGCTTTAGGGTTTTAGGGTTCAGCATTCTGGGTTTGGGGTTTGGGGTTTAGGGTCCCACCCAGAGCCATTGAGGGCTTAGGGGCCCGTGATCTTGGGTAAGTGGGGCTACGAGCCCCCCTGTAGTTGTGACTTTCGTCACCTTATTCACAACCCTACTTACACAGTCCCGTGCAGCCACAAGAAGTGTAAGGTCAGGTTCACGTGAGAGATGCAGGAAAGGGTTTGAGGCTTCTATGTTGTGGTCTCGAGTCTGTCAGGGCTTCAGGGTTTTGGATTTAAGGCCATTGCGTAGGGGTTTAGGGGTTTAGGAGTTTGGGGTTCTGTAAAGTTTGGGCTTAATGGGGTTCCACACAGGTTTCAAGGTCTTGGCAAACTGGCACGGAAGGATACACGCATCTTGATACCATACACATTTCTACATAAAACTACCCTGCTTATAACCCTACTTAGCCCCCTGATCCATTAAGAGCCCCAACACGCACGCGATGTCTGACCCCCATGCACAGGCACATGCTTCTTTTCTTCTTCGCTCGTATGGACGACAGCATCCGTATAACGATGACAAGATCTTAAACCCTAAACCCGAAACCTTAATCCCTAAACCCTAAGCCCAAGCGCAAGCAAACAAGTATATACTAACAATGCACTTATC